TATCTATGCCTCTGGGGTGAGTTTGCTTCTTTTTGTTCTAGAGCTTTCAGTTGTTCTGTTAATTCTCTAGTGTAACTATTCTCCAGTTTCTTCATGTGGACACCTAGTGCTAAGAACTTTCCTCTTAGCACTGCTTTCAAAGTGTCCCATAAATTTGGGTATTTTGTGTCTTTGTTATCATTGAATTCTAGGAAGTCTATACTTTCTTTTTTTTTCATTTCTTCCTTGACCCAGGAATGGTGCAATTGCACATTGTTCAATTTCCATGAGTTTGTAGGGTTTCTGGCAATGTGTGTTGTTGAATTCTAACTTTAAGCCATGGTGATCCAATAGGATACAGGGGGTTATTCTAATTTTTTTTTAATCTGTTGAGATTTGCTATGTTGCCAAGTATGTCGTCGATTTTAGAGAGGATTCCATGTGGTGCTGAGAAGAAGGTATATTCTTTTGCATTTGGATGGAATGTTCTATAAACGTCTGTCAATCCCAATTGGGTCATAATTTGTTAGATATTAGGATTGCTACACCAGCTTGTTTCTTGGGTCCATTTGATTGGAAAATCTTTTCCCAACCCTTTACTCTGAGGTAACATCTGTCTTTGAAGTTGAGGTGTGTTTCTTGTATGCAGCAGAAGGATGGATTCTGTCTTCATATCCATTCTGTTAGCCTGTGTCTTTTTATAGGTGAGTTAAGACCATTGATATTGAGGGATATTAATGACCATTGATTGTTGATTCTTGTTTGTTTTGGATTTATTGGTGGTGGTGTTATTGTGTGTGGGTTTCCCTCCTTTTTTTCTTTTGGTGTTTGGTAATGTAGGTTTATCTATTGTCTATGTTTTTGTGAGTGTAGTTATCTTCCTTGGGTTGGAGTTTTCCTTCCAGTACTTTCTGTAGGACTGGATTTGTGGATATGTACTGTTTAAATCTGGCTTTGTCATGCAATATCTTGTTTTCTCCATCTGTAGTGATTGAAAGCTTTGCTGGGTACAGTAGTCTGGGCTAGGATCCATGGTCTCTTACTGTTGGTAGAATATCTACCCAGGAACTTCTGGCTTTCAGAGTTTCCATAGAGAAGTCGGGTGTAATTCTGATAGGTCTGCCTTTATACGTTACTTGGCCTTTTTCCTTTTCTGCTCTTAATATTTTTTCTTTATTCTGTTAAGTTTGGTGTTTTATTATGTGGTGAGGGGATTTCTTTTTGTGGTCCAGTCTATTTGGTGTTCTGTAAGCTTCTTGTACTTTCCTAGGCATATCCTTCTGTAGGTTGGGGAAGTTTTCTTCTATGATTTTGTTGAATATGTCTTCTGTACCCTTGAGCTGTATTTCTTCACCTTCTATATGTTACAATAAATCTTTCCACCAAAAGCCGCCTGAGCCCCACCACCACATGTGAGCTTTATGCCAGCCGCCCGCCTGAGTTAGGGCCCAAATGAATACACGGAAACTTGTATTAGGTACAATGTTGCTTAGCCAATGACTAGGATTCTCATCTGTTAGCTCAGTCTTAACTATCATAAACCTATATATTTTATAAGACTTATCTTATTGGACGCCTTATTGGCGTCCCTCCTTGCCAGTGGATCACATTGTGCTGGAGCAGGAGCGTAGGGGAAAAGAGAGAGGATTCCTGTTTCTCCTTCTTTAAATATGAGTCTCCTTGCTATGTCACTTCCTGCCTGGATTACCATTTCTCTACTACATTTCCCAGAATCCTCTTTGACTCCCTGTCCTGTCTAACTTGCTGTCTCATTGGCCAAACAGTATTTTATTCAACAATCAATAAGATAAACATACACAGAAGTATTTTCCCCATCATCTATACCTATTATTCTTAGGTTTGACCTTTTCACAGTATCCCATATTTCCTGGATATTTTGTGTTAGGAATTGTTTGGACTTGAGATTTTCTTTGGTCAATGATTGTATTTCCTCTAGTGAGTCTTCAACAGCTGACATTCGCTCTCCCATCTCTTGTATTCTATTAGTTTTACTTACATCTGTAGTCCCTGATAGTTTACCCAGTTTTTCTATTTCCAGCATCCCCTCATTCTGTGTTTTCTTTATTTCAGCTTTCAAGCCTTGAACTGTTTGAACTGTTTCCTTCACTTGTTTGGTTGTTTTTTCTTGACTTTCTTTACATTCTTTAAGGGATTTGTTTATTTCTTGAATTTTTTCGATTGTCTTTTCCTCCATTTCCTGTATTTTTTTATTTCTTTAAGGGATTTTCTCATTTCCTCTTTGGGGGGGTCTCTAATATCTTCATAAAGTTGTTTTTAAGGTCCTTCTGCTTCACCTGTGTTGGGGTATTAAGGTTTTGCTGGTGTAGAGTCCCTAGAGTCTGGTGGTGTCATATTGGTCCTTCTGTTGTTGAGTGTGTTCTTATACTGTTGTCTTCCCATTCCTTCTTCAAGTGAGTGCAGGTGGGGGTCTCTCCCTCTCCTCTAGTCTCCTGGTGGTGTAGGTGGACCAAGACTTCAATGTCTGCAACTCTGGATGGTCCAGCTTCTTCTGTTCTCCTCACTCAAGCATAAGGCAGAGAGGGGACAAGACTCAAGTGGAGGGTGGAGGGTGTTTGGGGGGGCAAGAGTGAGGTATAGCCAGATTCCAGGTGGTCCATCCTGCCAGGGTAGGTCCACTCTCCCTGCAGAGCAGGCCCAGGAAGATCCCAGGGAGTTGGGGATGGTGGGAGTTGGGCCCTGAGCAGAGCCCACACTCACCTCAAGCAGAGGACAGAGGGTGGAGGTGCCAGATGGGTTTTCAGAGACACAGGGGCAACCAGGAAAGACTCACAATTATGCCGACCCATCCTTTAAGATGTTTAAACAATATGTGGGGCTGGTGAGATGACTCAGCAGTTAAGAACACTGTCTGCTCTTCCAGAGGACCAGGATTCAATTCCCAGCACCCACATGGCAGCTCACAACTCTCTGTAACTTCAAGATCTGACACTCTCACACAGATACACATGCAAACAAAACACTAATGCACATAATTTTTTTTAAAGAAAAAATGTGTGTAGAAGTCAGGGTTAAAATAGACACGTGGAAAGATTGCTGAGTGACTTATTCAAGTTTGTGTTTGTCCATGCCTATGTGTGCAGGTGTGAATGTAGGGTACAGTGGAGGCAGGGGTGAATGTGGAGGTCAGAGGTCAACCTCAGGTGGTGTTCTGCCATTGCTGTCCACCAGTGTTTTCTGAAATAGTCTCTCACTGGCCTGGGCTGGCTGGCCAGTCAGTCCTAAGAATCCAGCGTCTGTGCCTTCCCAGCACTGGGAATACAGATACATGGTGCCACCACCACCCCCATCTCGTTTTTGGGAATCATATTCAGGTCTTAGTGTTTGCACAGCAAACATTTTACCAGCTGAGCCTCTCCACAGCCCAGATGGCACCAAATGTCACCATGATACTAATGAAGCATTTTCAACAGAGTTCCAGCCAGTGACATAGTTCGTTTTCATTGTTTTTTAGCAAGCCACAGTCTACCTGGTAAAACACCAAAGTGTGACTTGCAGGAGGGGACACAGGTATGAGTGCCTCTGTGAGAAAAGGAAAACACATATATAAAGAATGTGACCTCCAAAGGAAAGGTGCCAGCAAGAGGCCTGGAGCCTCAGCTTTCCCAGTTTCATGGTGCCCCCACCTCCAGGCCATAGTTGTTTAAGTCAGCAAAGTGATGTTTGTAACTTCATAGCCCCACCTGCTTGTTTCCTTGAGATTCCATTGGCTGGGATGAGACAAGACTCTCCATCCCCAAGGCTGTCCCCACCCAGACTTCCCCTTTGAGCTCCCCACTAGCCCTGAAGCCAGGGGCTTTCTACTTCTAATACCTGCCAACTCCTTGGAGCCTTAGCCTTTCCATCTAGGCTCAGGGAGAAAAGGGAACTTGAGAAAGGCGTGCTCTGGGAAGGGTGTGCACACAACAGGGAATGAAATAGAGATTTGCAAGCTTCAGCAGTTGCTCTCACTGCCCCCACTAAGTTTGTGTACCTGTTGGCTGCTTCTGGCAGTAACAGGGCTATTGGTGTGTGGTTCTAATCAGGGATTACTGAACCAGTAAAGACAACATATGTGGTGGTGGGTGGTTTGCAGTCAAAGGTCCCCAGCCTCAAACACTAGACCCATCTAGATATGAAGTCTTGTGTGCCTTATTCCTTCCTGTTTAAAGAGAGAATTCTAGCATGCTTGCTCCCCAGAGCACGCACCATCAGCTAGTAGTTTGACACGAGATTCACACTCGTTTCTCCTCCTTGCTGTTGGTGGAGCTGCCTTCTAACTCTACTGTGAGGCTCTGAGCAAGATAGAGTTTATGATTCCGTGTTCTGTGCAGCTTCTTCTGACTGTCCTCGAGCTTATATACACTTCAAAGCCAGGGTGGGCATCCCGCAAGCCAGACATGTGTCTCACTGCTGTGTGACATTAGGCCGTAATCCCAGCACATAGGAGGCAGAAATGGGTACCTGAAGTAAACTGGCCAGCTAGACTAATCAAATTTGTACATTCTGAGTTCAAGTGAGAAGCCCTGCCTCAGTATATAACCTGGGAGGCAGGGAGATACCTGATTTCAGCCTACATACACAAGTGCACATACAAACACATGCACGCATATGTATACACACTTGAATCCACATCACATGCAAATAGACACACAAAAGCACTGCGAAGCAGTGGTCTCAACTGCTGAGGGAGGGGAGATCCTGTGACTCTTTTCTAGGCATGCTTTACGTGTGGAATGAAGGCCATGAGTATCTTAACTTGTAGAAGATTGTGCACCCTGGAAGCCCACCAATGGGCGCCTGCTCCTCAGAGCACTTTATTCGGCCACTCACGTTTGTATGTGTCAGTGTGCCGGGATTTCTCCGATGTCTGCTCCTTGCATCTGCCTTACTGACAAGTCACTAACGGTTTCTCTTCTCCCACACCCATCCTCCCCTGTCTCACCCTCTCCCTTCCCTGCCTCCTCTCCATCTTCTCTTTGCTGGCTGCTGCTGCTCTCCAGTGCGACCAAGACCAATGCATTCAGAGCACCAAATTCGTTTTGCAGGCCGCAGCCACTCCTTTGCTTCAGAGCGAGCCGAGCCTCACCAGCGAAGAGCTGCATATGCCTGGAAAGCCAGGCTTGGGCACACCATGTGCTAGCCTGACACTGGGTCAGCCCACACCACCCTCCTCTATGCCCAATCTTGCCACTGAGGCCACACTCTCAGACATTATGCCCCTAAAGGACGAGCACGGGGCCCACCAGTTTCTGACCCCAGACGAAGCACCCTCACCTCCAAGGATGCTTGGGGCAGGCAGCCCCCTAGCGCACAGCCGTACCATGCACATGCTGGGCCTGGCCAGCCAGGACTCTCTTCATGAAGACTCTGTGCGGGGCTTGGTAAAGCTCAGCTCCGTGTGACCTGCATGGCCAGCCCTGGGACCACAGGTGACAAACAAGCAAAAAGAAAACAATGGACATAGCGCCAAGTGGACATTTTATTTGGAATCTGCCGGGCGGGCCAGGGGAGGGAGGACCCTCCGGAGGAACCTGGAATTGGAAGAGGCTGCGTGGATGCAGCACCCTCTGTCGGCTGCCCTTGGGACAGACACGAGGAAGGTTTTCGACACTGGCGACCAGACTGAAATTGCACTTAATGTAATGCTACTAATTGAAATCGACCCGCCGTTCCATTTGTTCATTAAAACAAAACAAAACAAAAATCCTAAAGGGAAAAGCCGAGCAGGCATGGGTTTGCATGCCACACGTGTGTCACAGCGGTGGTATTCTGACCCCCTCCGTTTCATTCTTTTCAATCTTGTGAAACTATCCAGAGCGACAGACTGAGCCCAACGGCCGATGTCATCCTGCCAGGACTTAGCTGTATGCGGATGGTCGTCCCCTGCTGCAGAGGGCTACTGGGGCCCTGCTGCAGACAGACATTTAGCCTTCTGTCAGCGCTTAGACAGGGTGTTGTATTGTGCCACCGTTTACCAGTCCTCGCCTCCTGTGTGATGAACTTCCTGTGGACAGCCAATAAAATGACTCCTCTGCTATTTTTTTTTTGATCTGTATACAGTTGTCCTTAACAGCTTATATGCAAAGAGTCACTTGTTTGTTTGTTGTTTACATTATCTCTGGTAAGGAATAATTCAGTACAGCTAAAATTCAGATTTTTGGATTGTGGGGTTACAAGGTTGCTTCTTAGATGGGAGCTGAGCTTGCCAATAGTCCCCAGCCCTTGACACCAAACAAAATGTTTTTAAAACAGCCTCATCAGGGTTTGCTCTGCCCTTACAGCCACCCACACTGCTATTATGTGTAGTAGGTAAAGGGAAGGGTACCCAGGAGAAGGGATATTGTCTTGTTGCCTTCTTTGCGATGTTGTGGTGTTGCAGAACCTCACAGGCACACCTCATGGTCCTCATGAAGCAACACTGGCTCCGTGCTTTACCTGAGGTCACATAGATCATGCTCTAAGGTGAACACAGTGAGGATGGCAATAAGATGGCTGCTTCACTCCACCTGTCATCAGAAAGGGAGCAGCATTTTAGGAACCCGGACGATCTGGAAGCAGCTGCAAGAAGCTCACCACCGCTCGCTCTCCTGTCTTCTTTTCCAGTCCCACATCCAACACCAAATCCACAGAGCCTTGTGACCATCTGGAAGCAAAGTGCATTTCTCATTAGTACAAGAAAGCAGAGATAGTTTTACTCAGGATGAAAACAGTTCTATTCAGGTCACACAATAGGCATGCTGAAAACGGCTATAGACATCTTCCCTGTGGCATCTTTGCGTCACCTTTACTATTGTACCCTGTGGTGGAATAGAAAATGGAGGTGAATTTTATGTAGCCAATTTTTGTTTTGTAATTTTCTAGAACCCTCCCCCCCCATTATTGTAATTTAGGACAGAACTTTTCTTATACAACCTCGCACACAGTCCAATGTTCCATCTATGAATAAAGTGACTCCCCACAAAGTCCCTTCTATACCTTTTCAACCACCGCTGCCTCCCACCTGCCACCGAAGAGAGTTAGGGTACTGAGAAAGGAAATCTTGGCTCAGCCTCACCCTCACCCTGTAATCAAGTGTGGTCTGGTCTTTCCCCAGTTTCTATTGTAGGGGGCACTTGTCTTCAGAACCCTGCCATTCCTGACACACCTAATATAGTTGTTGCCAATTTCCTGTGACCAGTCCCTCTACCAACAGCATAATTTTAAAAAATTCCAAGAAGCAATGTTATCATGACAGATAAGTCACTTAATACAGTTGGCCCTCTGTCTCCTCCTCTTCATCTATGGACTTGGTCAACTATGCATTGAAAATACTTTGGAACAGGGTATATATATTGAATTGTTTGGACTTCTTCCCTTGCCATATCCCCTAAATACTGTTATATAGCACTACACCCTGTTAGATATAAATCACTTGGGGATGATCCAATATCTACAGAAGGGTGTGTGAATTCTTTATATGCAAACACCATGCAATTTTAATTACGAGATCCAAGCATCCATGGGTTGGGGTTATGTGGGAATCTAGACCCAATCCCATAAGGAAACTGAAAAACAAATATACTTATCAGTTACCCTGTTCTAACCCCATCCTCTATGTGTACGTGGCACCATTTATCGTATAGAGGTTTGGGGAGCTTGGAGAAGATGAATCAAGACTATCCAGGGTCAAGGGAGAGGTTAAGTGGCATGAGACAATTGACTAAACGATTGAAATTGCAAAGCCCACAGAATATCCACAGCCTTTTCCTCCATTGCTCAGGAATAAGTGACTGGGCTCTGGGGGCTCCCACTTCAGTGATGGGGTGAGGGCATCAGCCAGGGAGGTGAGTGGTCTGCATTTCCCATTAACAGGGTCCATTGTGTGGTGAGTAGACCTTGACATTTCTAAATGCTTCTAGAGAGTTAGTAATCGATTGAATGCTAACTAGAAAAAAAATAAGATGAATATTTTACTATGCTATTAAGACTTGGGCCATTAACACACACAGGGGTGGGGGTAAAACTTCATCTGCTTTCCACTCTCCCAGGAACACTCCAGAGACCATAGGCCTCTCAAGCACTTGAAGGTTGGATTTAGCCAGAGCACCCTGGTCCAGACCTGCTTCTGAGCGGGCAGGATGACATTGCCACTCTGTGCCAGGAGCAATCAGCACAGTGTGCTGCGCCCACTTGAAAAACGTTCACCCCAGCTTTGGATGTGATTATTCAGCTATATGCCATCCCCTACCCCGAGCCAGCAAAGTGCCACATACCTGTTTGCACCCAGCAAGTCTCTAAGAATGACTCCCCCATCTCTGAGTCTTTGCCTATGTCATCCGGGGTCACCGATGGGTTCAGATAAGGAATGGGGACATTCAGGGGTGCAACATGCAACTGCAAAACAAGATATAAACCCCATTCTGTGAACCACGTTCCGCCAACACCTGAGTGGGTAAGCCTTAGTGTGCTTCACACTCTGGGCTTTACTCTCTCTAGACCAACAGCAAGAAATGAATGTATTGAAATTGTAGAAGGTATTTTGAGTGCAGGACTGGGAGACATCTCCAGGAATAGCTAGGATGGACACTTTCAAAGGCTTCACGGGGCCCTCCAACCCAGACTTATACATGTTCCAGTTCAGCACTGAGCCTACCCACCATCCTCTTTGGGCCTGGAACCTGAAGCCATAGCTTCAGGTTGGAGTTCATTCCCAGGTGTCAAGGGTCGACCTGGATATGATGTCGGACCTTTCCCAAGGGAGTTACGTTGTATCGGTCCACACCAGGACACTCTTTAGCACACTGAGTTCTTCAAGTAAGAAGAGAATAAAAAAAATTATCTTGTATATATTTTCTAGTTAATTCCTCAAAACTGAAGCTGAGCCTAAATTAAATCGGTATTTATGTTTTTTTTTTTTTGCATTAAATACTTTGGCTGTGGAACCTATTATATTCCTATCCAAAAGGAAGAGAACTCTGAATAAATTTTAATTCTCCATGGCCTCCTTCACCTGTTCCGGAGGCCTGTCTGTACAACACCTTCTACTGTTTTCCATGTTAGCTCCTACAATTCTGATTGATTATTTCCTCAAATCTAGCTCTTCCTTCCCCCGTTTCTCTCCCTCTGCCTCTCCTTTTCTTATTACTTCCCCAACCCACTTGCTCTATACACAAGCCCTCCCCTTCTCAAGTGCCCCCCTCTCCACTTCCCTTCTGTTTCCTCTTTCTACTATTTCTCCCTTCTCCCAGTAAATTTTCACTGAAATAGTAAATGATGATTTCTCTCAAATAACCATCACATACAAATAGTTTGAAACCCCTCTATTGCCACGGGATGTGGCTCTGATGATGTGGCCCAGTGAATTTTCAAAAAATAACTGCTTGGTGCATCAATCCAGCCATTAAAAATAACTGAGAGATGGAAGATTAGATTGTTTTATAGCAATCGAGTTTGCAGCCACAAAACCAGATAAACGGCTTCAACTGGAATGAGTGTGTGTGTGTGCACGTGTGCGCGCATGTGTGTGTGTGTGTGTGTGTGTGTGTGTGTGTGTGTTAAGAAAGTGGCTTTCCTAAACCCTTGAGTCTCAGCTGTTTCATTTAGAAGCAGCTGGAGAGCAATGCAGAAATCCAGCCCTAACCCCAAATCACTCACAGGTGTTCACTCCTCTACATCTACATACTCCAGCCCCCCCCCCAAAAGCAGATAGGAATTATGTTTGGCTACTGGTTAAAACTGTGTGTGTGTGTGTGTGTGTGTGTGTGTGTGTGTGTGTGTGTGTGTCCAAATAGTAGTGACTTAGAAAATAAGCTCTCCACTCTGTCCTGCAAAATAAGTACACAGACAGGCCATGAAGAGTCAGTGTGATGTCTGTAGTGCAGGTACAGTCTCCTCCTGTTCCCATTCTGCCTTTCTTTAAAGTGGCTTTCATTCTAATGGTCATTTCACGGCCACAAGATAGGCCCTGTGGTTCCGGCACCAAAGCCACATTCCACGAAGAGCTAAGGGAAGCAGCCTGTTCCCTGATAGAGCACTCCCAAAGCCCCCAGCCCCCGCCCCATTTCCTCATGATCAATATGAGCTCAAGTGACCATGCCCAGCCAAGCAAGAAACCCAGGGCATAGGTTTTCACTGAGAACATTGCTACCCCAAATCTTGGGATTCTGTTGGCAAGGAAAAGGGGGAGCTTTTTAATGGCAGGGGGTGGAGGTCCTCCAGTTTGCCACTCCTTCTCCTCTCCACAACTCCTACTTGCTACTTGACCCTCAACTCCCCTTCTCTGTCACACTCTGAAAGACAATATGCAGAGGTTGTTTTTAGCCTATTTTGAGAAATCTCATCGGCAATCATATCTGTTCGTGGCATCTGTGTTTTCTGATTGCCATCTAGTCTGTGGATTGAAATTAAATTAATTTGTTAGGTCAGCCAGGCAGCTGATGTATGCAAACACACTTTGTGGCGCCAAGGAGACCAGATGGATTCAGAGGCCACCAAAGATTGTTCTAACCCCATTCTCGTTGAAATGCCAGGTGGGATTCCTCATGGACCCAAATAATAAGCTCACATCAAGTTGAGGCCTCAGCAAGACCCTATCCATGGATGTCCCCTCCCTGACTACAATTGTGGGCAATGAGACCTAATTCTAGAACATTCTAGAAAGGAGGTGATAGTGATCGTGAGGAGCCTCTTTGAGACACACGTCACCAGTTCAGGTTCACACCATGCTGGTTTGGGTCTCTGTGTCTGTCTCCTCTTCCCAAGGACACCCTCCCTCCTGTACTGCACAGCTACCAATCAGGCACCCTTCGATGGAACCAGGTCCTGTCTGGATGTGTCAGCCCAGCTGGGATTTGGTACTTCCTTCTGTCCACAGGATGCTGCATCTTCAGAAACAGGAGTGAGTTTCCAGCCTGGGCCGGTGTGTTTGTGTCATATCTTGTGAAAGACAAGGGCCGGTGCTTGCTTCCTTCAAGCTTCCTCGCTCACTCCCCACCATGACAGATGTGACTATTGTCTTCTCGGGACTTTATTTCAGAGGCTGATTCTTTCAGAGATGGA